GAGAGGGTGTGGAGAAAAGGGAACCCTCTTACACTGTTGGTGGGAATGCAAATTAGTACAGCCGCTATGGAGAATAGTGTGGAGATTTCTTAAAAAGCTGGAAATAGAACTGCCATATGACCCAGCAATCCCACTTCTGGGCATACACACCGAGGAAACCAGATCTGAAAGAGACACGTGCACCCCAATGTTCATCGCAGCACTGTTTATAATAGCCAGGACATGGAAGCAACCTAGATGCCCATCAGCAGATGAATGGATGAGGAAGCTGTGGTACATATACACCATGGAATATTACTCAGCCATTAAAAAGAATTCATTTGAATCAGTTCTAATGAGATGGATGAAACTGGAGGCCATTATACAGAGCGAAGTAAGCCAGAAAGATAAAGACCATTACAGTATACTAACACATGTATATGGAATTTAGAAAGATTGTAACGATAACCCTATATGCAAAACAGAAAAAGAGACTCAGATGTATAGAACAGACTTGTGGACTCTGGGAGAAGGCGAGGGTGGGATGTTTCAAGAGAACAGCATCGAAACATGTATATTATCTAGGGTGAAACAGATCACCAGCCCAGGTTGGGTGCATGAGACAGGTGCTCGGGCCTGGTGCACTGGGAGGACCCGGAGGGATCGGGTGGAGAGGGAGGTGGGAGGGGGGACTGGGATGGGGAATGCATGTAGACCCATGGCTAATTCATTTCAATGTATGACAGAAACCACTGCAATGATGTAAAGTAATTAGCCTCCAACTAATAAAAATAAATGAAAAAAAAAGGAAAAAAAAAGAAAAAATAATAAAAATAAAATAAAATAAAATAAAAATAAAAAGTTTTGTACAACTGTCTTACTATGGGCCAGGCATTTGTGCTCAGTACTTTCTAACATCATTTTTTTTCAACTTTTGGTGTTTTTTTTTTTTACTCTTTGTTTTTGTCCATACTAGTAAATATCAGTTTTAAAAATCATGGTGATCTCATTTAATTTAAAGCCTCATCACAATCCTTAAAGATAATGATAATGTAATAGCTGTTAACCATGCACTATACTGCCTCCATGAGGCAGAGAATTATAAGCCCATGCTCTAAGCCACTTTGCCCTAAGACCAGTGACTCACTAGTCACTTACAGGAAGTGAGGGCATATGGGTTGGTCAGCATTCAGTGGTGTACTGGACCAAAGTGCTTCTATGAGCATTGTGAAATTGGCAGTAATTTTGTGAGCAGGTTGCAAAAGCACTGATAGCTTGCAACAATAGCTTGAAAGTGCATACTGAGAGTATTTACACTATGGAAATTGGCAAATGCTATAAATCAGAGCACCTCTCTTCCAACCTAGAGAGGTGATTATTTAACAGTATATTACTGGTCAACAAACTTTCTCTTTTAGATGAGAACAAATGTGTCTGAAGAAGGAAATAAGCATGTCTGCTCATGGGTGCCAATGAAGTCTATCAAGGGCCAATGTGTGTACTTCAAGAAGTATGTGTGCATTTGAAGGTGCGGGTGTGCTAAGTCTCTTCAGTCATGTACAACTCTTTGTGACCCTATGGACTGTAGCCTGTCAGGCTCATCTGCCCATGGGGATTCTCCAGGCAAGAATACTGTAGTGGGTTGCCATGCTCTCCTCAGGGTATCTTCCCAACCCAGGGTTCACTTCAGTTCAGTCACTCAGTTGTGTCCAACTCTGCGACCCCATGAGCTGCAGCATGCCAGGCCTCCCTGTCCATCACCAACGGCCGGAGTCTACCCAAACCCATGTCCATTGAGTCAGTGATGCCATCCAGCCATCTCATCCTCTCTTGTCCCCTTCTCCTCCTGCCCTCAATCTTTCCCAGCATCAGGGTCTTTTCAAATGAGTCAGCTCTTCGCATCAGGTGGCCAAAGTATTGGAGTTTCAGCTTCAACATCAGTCCTTCCAATGAACACCCAGGACTGATCTCCTTTAGGATGGACTGGTTGGATCTCCTTGCAGTCCAAGGGACTCTTAAGAGTCTTCTCCAACACCACAGTTCTCTGAAGCAATGAGTGTGAGTGAGGGGGTCAGTTTGTACATGTTAAGGAGTCACAGAGTGAAAAATGAGGCCGGTGTGTCTAGATGGTGTCAGTGAGGATCTAAAGGACTGAGTTTTTTGTGTTAAGCAGTGGCATAGTAAGAATATGAAAATATGAGGTCAAAATCAATGTGTGTATGTATGAGGTTAGCGTGTTTTTCACAGTCAGGAGTGGGTAGGTATAATGGAGGACTGAGTATGTATGAAAGGGTGTCAAATATATGTGTTGAAGGGGACAAATCTTGTTTGTGAAAATAAGTTTGTGTTTAAGGGGGCTTATGTTCTACGTTCAGTATCTGAGGGTATGTATCAGAGTGAACCTAAAGGTAGGACTATGATAGCCTGAATAACTGTTTCAGCCTTAATCCTTGAATCTATTAACATTACATTCTGCTTCAAAAGAAAAGAAAACACAAAATAACAGTGCTGAATATTTTTAGCAAGACAGAGCATTATTTCTCTACCTAGAGGCAGGTAGCCTAGGGCTGGTGTGACAGCTTGTTTCATGAAATCCTCAGGGACCTAGACTCTTTGGACTCATGGCTCCCCCATCCCTCAGGGCCCCAACTGCCAACTAAATATCCTGCCACCTATCTCTGCTCCCATCCTCTTTTATTTCCTGAGGCTGTGCCATGTGGCATGCACAATTTTAGTTCCCGATCTGTACCGCCTGAATTGGGAGCAGAGGGTCTTAACCACTGGACTGCCAGGGAAGTCCCTGCTCCCATCCATTTTTTTTTTTTTGCTGCACTGGGTCTTCATTGTGGCACCATGGGCTTCTTTTGTTGTAGTGCAGAGGCTCAGTTGCTCGGCAGCATCTAGGATCTTAGTTCCTGACCAGGGATAGAACCTGCATCTTCCTCTTTGCAAGGTGGATTCCTAACCACTGGACCACCAAGGAAGTCCCTCACATCCTCTTTTTATCCTTTTACTTGAAACCACTCTGGTAACATTAGTCACATTCACAGTTTTGCCTTGACCTGTAGCCCAGCCCATATCTTTCCGTAGAACTTCAAACCAGTACATCTGAATGACAATTGGCCATCTCTCCTATGATGTCACACAAACCTCAATTTCAGCATTTTCAAAACAACTCAGTTATTTCCTCAACTTCATCTTGTCGTCTATTCTACCTCTCTGAATGGCACCACCGTGTTGCCTAAGCCAGCAAGTTGAACATCCTGCTAAGTTTTCCCACCCACTCTGCCCCCATCTCAGGCTTCCCAGGTAGCTCAGCTGGTAAAGAATCTGCCCGCAATGTGGGAGAACTCTGGGTCATGACGATCTGCTGGAGAAGGGATAGGCTACCCACTCTAGTATTCCTGGGCTTCCCTGGTGGCTCAGCTGGTAAAGAATCCACCTGTAATGCGGGAGACCTGGATTCTATCCCTGGGTTGGAAAGATCCCCTGGAGAAGGGAACAGCTACCCACTCCAGTATTCTGGCCTGGAGAATTTCACAGACTGTATAGCCTGTGGGGTCACAAAGCGTCGGACACGACTGAGAGACTTTCACTCACTGCCTCTGTCTGATCAGTTTTACCATCCCACCTTGATACGTCCTGAATTTGTCCCATTCTCTCTATCCTTACTGCCACCATCTTAGTTCCCCCCTTACCATTTCTTCTTTGGACTGCTACAACTGACTCAAAAATTAAGTCTAGGTTGCCATTAATTTTCCTGTAACAAAAATTTATTACTACTGCCTGACTTAAGAAACCTCCATTGGCTCCTCCAAACCTCTACTGGCTCCTCCTTTGCAAGACTCAGTAATGTTATGGAAATCACCTACTTACAAAAAAAAAGAAAGAAAAGTGAAAGTGTTATTCGCTTAGTTCTGTCTCCCTCTGCTACCTCAAGAACTGTAGCCCGCCAGGCTCTTCTGTCTATGAGATGTTCCAGGCAAGAATACTGGAGTGGGTAGCAATTCCCTTCTCCAGGGGATCTTCCTGACCCCGGGATCAAATGCAGGTCTCCTGCATTACAGGCAGATTCTTTACCACCTGAGCTACAAGGGAAGCCCTTAGAAATCACCTATGGAGCTTTCTGAACACACAGAGAGGTGATTCTATCACAGACCTGATGAATAACAAACACAGCTGATATTCATGTGCCAGGCATTGTACTAAATGCTTTGTTACATATTTTCTGGCTTATTTCTCATAACTTCATGAGTAGCTATTACTCTTTCACAACTGTGGATGGAACAAAAGTGATTAAGGTATTTGCCTGAAGTTCCCTGGTGGCTCAGCGATAAAGAATCCGCCTGCCAATGCAAGAGACACGAGTTCCATCTCTGGGTGGGGAAGATCCCCCTGGAGAAGAAAATGGCAATCCACTCCAGTAAATCCCTTGGACAGAGGAGGATGGCCGGCTATGGTCCATGGGGTCTTAAGAGTAGCACACGACTTAAGAGACTAAACAACAACTGGATCATATGTAGTGGAAGCTACGAGCTAGGTAAACTAATTCCACAGTCCAAGTTCTTAACTATAAGGCCTTCCCCAGTCAGAAGCTCTGAGTGATTCCAAAAGGTAAACCTTACTAGCATAGAATGGATTGCTGTATGCTTAATACGGAATCCTTGGCGTCCAACTCAGCGAATGGTACTCAGCAGACAGCCAATAAACAGTGGCGGACCTCCACTTGGAAGCTGGGGTGGCAGTTGAGGACGGTCACAGGAAGTTAAAAGGATCCGAGGAGTACACATGGGTAGGAACACCCGGCCGCAGTTTTGCACCTCCTTCCCGGCGCAAGAGGCGGGGCCGCTCGGCCCCTGGCGGTGGGCGGACTCACCCCCGAAGCCGGAAGTCTGGACGTAACTTCCGTCGAGCGAAGATGACGTATGACAGGCGCTTCCGCGTCAGGGAGCCGGTGGCGGATCCCGGGACGTGGAGACCCGGGGTCCCGGCAGCGGGGCGGCCCGCGGGCCACGGCGGGGATGCACCGTCGTGGGGTGGGAGCTGGCGCCATCGCCAAGAAGAAGCTTGCCGAGGTGAGGGGAAGAAGGCGGGCCCACAGCCACCCCTGACTCGCGAGAGACAAATCTTTCCGAGCAGAGCTCTATACCCTCAAATAGCCTCCAAAGAATTTAACGCGGGCTTCTCGGATCCCAGGGAGCTGAGTTTCTCCAGCTCCCGGTGGATTGGAATGTCATCATCCCCAGAACCATCAGTCCTTTCCCCCACGCCCCCCAGTTTGATTACAAGGGAGTCGTCTGTTCCCTCCTCTCCCTAAGAAAAACCATTTGCGGGACCCTCCTCTTTTCATACTTCTGCGGAGGCAATACAAGTGGGAGCTCGCAGCATCCATTCTCTGAACTCATCCTGGTCTCTTTGCCTGACAGGCCAAGTACAAGGAGCGAGGGACTGTCTTGGCTGAGGACCAACTGGCCCAGGTGAGTAGGTTGGAGGGCTCCAGGTAGCAAGGGAGATACCAAAAGGCTGGGCAGGACTCCTCTGATATAAACCAGATTGTTTGGATCAACCAAAAATAGGGTATTTGGCAAATCCTGATTTCTGTGCTGCTCAGATCATTTAGGTGACTTGCTAATAACAACGATAGCTGACATCTTTGAATGATTACCTACTTTTAGCATCCCAGGCATATGTCCATTTTCTTTAGGTACACTGTCTTGTTCATTCCTCTTGACAGTTCTATCAGGAAAGAACTCTGTTCTTTGCAGTTTAGAATTGAGGGCACTGAGGTGTTAAGTGCTTTATCCAAGGTTACATAGATAGTAAGTGGTAGAAGATTTCTCTTGGTAAGTAGGTGGTAGAAAACTTCAGCCATGTCAGTGGTTGAAGATTTCCTACTGTGTGAATGCTTCAAAATTGATTATTAGACGCATCTTTGATTTGCATCTTTTGAGTTTTTACTTTAAATGCCAAAGAATAACATGGAAATATTGCCTAACCTCTGACACCCACCACCATCACATCTAGGTGCCTACCAGAAGTGTGTGACAGTAACGAGGGTGTGGTTCCTGCAGTTTCCTTCTCTAGTACTTCCCTTTTCTGTACATGCCCTCTAGTGTACTCACTTATTTTTCCTGGTGAAGAAAAGGAGGCAGTGAGGCAGGGAAATGGGGCCCTTGAACTGTGGAAAGAAGGTAGACACAAGCTGTGCTCTTCAAAAGGTCCCACTCATAAAGGGAGCTAACATGCAGGAATCAACTGGAATAATAACTGGAATAATAACTGACTATAATAATATGTAAATTTTTTTTTTTTAAATATGGAACGCTTCATGAATTTGCGTGTCATCCTTGTGCAGGGGCCATGCTAATCTTCTCTGTATCGTTCCAATTTTAGTATATGTGCTGCCGAAGTGAGCACAATATGTAAATTTTTAATAGGAGAAAATGAGGAGATGCTGGGCCAGGAGTGGTTATTCTTGGTGGGTTGTAGATAGGCTTTGTTAATTAGGGAAAGAGAAGGAGTAATGCAAATAGAAAAACAGAATATCCCCTGAAGCTAAAAAGAATGTAGCTTTAGAATGTAATGTGGTAGACTGTAGACTCACAACTGTTCCTCAGAGATTCTTTATCTAGGGTTAGCCTCAAGGAGGTCCTTGACCCACAGATTGATTCAACAACACACCTGATTCATGCCGGGCTTCCTTACTCTCCTATCTAGCTTTTCTATCAGTTGCTGAAGATTTCCCGCTGTGTGAATGCTGCAAAATTGATTATTAGGTGTATCTTCAATTAATTAATTTTGTTAGATTTTTTAAAAAATTTTATTTTATATTGGAATATGGTTGATTTACAATGTTCTGTTAGATTCAGATGTATAGCATGTTGAGTCAGTTACATATATATCTATTCTTTTTCAGATTCTTTCCCCATGTAGGTCATCATAGAATATTGAGTAGAGTTCCTTACGCTATACAGTAGGTCATCGTTTGTAGGTCCTTCAGTTTAATAACATTTCCCCCCCTGCCCCCCCCCCAGGGGAAAAGAAGAGCACTTACAACATGTTATATAATAAGAGTTGTTAAGAGAGTAAATCCTAAGAGTTCTCATCACAAAGAAAAACATTTTTTTCTATTTCTGTAATTTTCTTCTATCTGAATGTTCACAAAACTTAACTGTGATCATTTCATGATGTATATGAGTCAGATAATTATGTCGTATAATGCTGTATATACAGTGCTGTAAGTCAATTTTATCTCAATAAAACTGGAAGAAAGTGAATGAATGAGTAAATAAGAAAAATTTTAAAAAAGAAAGAATGGGAAAGAAAGAATTGTTAGATGCATACTGACTTTAGAACAGAAACACATAGGGAAAAAATGTGTATTTTAGAATTGAAGCAACATTACAGCATCTTATTTCTGTTATAGCAGAACTGTGAAGAAGAGGCAGGAAAAAAAGGAAAGGGAACAGTTAACAGTGTAATGGTAGTCCTGAAGACAGTAGGTTATTTCAGCATTTGCCGTGCCACTGGCCCAGGGGCCTACTCTTGGCATTCAGTTATCACTTGTTGGGGTTGCCCCTAACCATCCCCTTGTTCATCCTGCAGATGTCAAAGCAGTTGGACATGTTCAAGACCAACCTGGAAGAATTTGCCAGCAAACACAAACAGGAGATCCGGAAGAATCCTGAGTTCCGGGTGCAGTTTCAAGACATGTGTGCCACTATTGGAGTGGATCCTCTGGCCTGTAAGGAGTCCGTAGGGGTGCAGTGTTCTAGGGTTGCTAAGGGACAGAGCTCACCTAGTTGTCATCACTATTGCTGGAGCATCTTCTGTAAAGGCTTACAGGGAGATCTAGAGGATGTTATCTATAGGGAGTACCTAGCAGGAAGACTGTCCAGTTTGATGGGAACAATGGAGAGGTTAGAGTGCAGGCTGGGTGGACAGTGTACATGATCTTCCCTGGAATGATGTGCTCCGGAGTTTTTTTTTATGACTGTTTTTTCCCTTTATTAAAAAAAAATATTTAGTTTTGATAAAAGTGGTATGTGTTAAAAAAAAAAAGTGGTATGTGTTTCAGTCAGTCAACAAAGAAAATAAAAGGAGAAAGTAAAAGTCTTTTGACCCTGCCTGTTATTGCAGAGATAAAGTATGGTTAAGGTATATTTACTTTCTAGACACCTTCATCATATTTATAAATTATTTTTTAAAGATATATGGGGTTATGCTGTAATTACTACTTTATAACCTGCATTTTTTACTCAATAAAATATCTTCAGTGGATTTTCAAATGCCAGGTCTGCTTATTCTTTCTCTTAGCTTTGTCTAGACCATATGTCCCATTATATTTCACTCTGTATATCCTGAGCCAGACATAGCAGCCAAATAGAACTGCTTTTTATATTGCCCACCTTTAAAACTTTCTGAACCTGTTGTTTAGTAGGAATAACCAAGAGTCAGATTGTGTTGAGCATCCTGAGTCCAGAAGGGCTTAACCCTGGGCAGAGAAGGCTTCCCATAGAGTAGATGTTTTAATCTAGCTTTGAAAGAAAAAGTTGTAACTAATAAATAACCTAGCTTTTGTCTTTTTGTCTTTTAGCTGGAAAAGGATTTTGGTCTGAGATGCTAGGCGTGGGAGACTTCTATTATGAGCTGGGTGTCCAGATTATTGAAGTGTGCCTGGCCCTGAAGCACCGGAATGGAGGTGAGGGTGGCTGAATGGAGTCCTGTGGACTGGGCTTTGGGCTTCTCTGAGAGGGAAGAAAAAATCTTGAAAAATGATTTTTCCTGTCTGGCAGTCTACAGGCCAATAGGGTATTGAGAGGCTGTTTGGTCCTGAGAAGCACATGAGTGCTTCATGCAGTTGAATTCATGGCTGGTCTCCATGGCCAGCAGTAAACATGAATGATTCTATTCTCCAAAGGTCTTTGGTCAGGAAAGCTTAGCCCCTAGTTGTTACAGAACATATAGGGAGGTAGAAAATAGGCCTTTCCCTTGATAGATGATATGTCTGGGTTATGATTTTCTCATTAGTAATGGTAGGCCTGCTCTGCTTCTCTAAGGTGTGTTGATGCCAACTGAGTCTCTTTGCTCCCCAAAATGTGACCTTCAAAATATTCATCCAGTGGTGTCATCTTAATAAGCATACTGAATGGTCTTAAAGCTTAAAACCAGTTAGAAATCATTGGCTGTAGATACAGCCTTGGTGTCAAGAGAACAGTTTTTCAGATATGATGCTGACTTTTTTAAGTCATAAAGGTAATCCTTCAACTGCTTTCTGTCCCCCCTCTCCAATAGGTCTGATAACTTTGGAGGAACTGCATCAACAGGTGTTAAAAGGAAGGGGCAAATTCGCCCAGGATGTCAGCCAGTAGGTTTTGTCTTCCAATCTCTTGGGAGTATAGAAAGGTCTTTAAAAATCAGGTGGAAATCTCTTCTCCTTATTGTTTGTAGGTCTAGGCTAGTTTAGAAATCTTTTTTATTCCTCTTTATGATCAGAAGAGACATTTTTATTTTAGAAAACTGAAAAGAGATATAAAAAAACCAAACCACCCATTGTTTCTCAGCTGAGAGATTATTACTATTAAACATTTTGATTGATTTTCTTCTAAGCATGCATAAATATGTGAATGTGTGTGTATACACACACATTTTTTTTAAACATACTTGAGGTGATGTATACTCTTGATGTTATTTGTGGTCAAGGAGATTAGAGCAGGCACTGAGAAAGGCTGGGGAAAGGAGTTGAGCTCAGAAGACGGGGTCTAAATTGCCCTGGTTCACTAGCCTTTATGCATGACTCCAATTTGAGAAAAGGTGAAAAAAGGTAATCAGTATGTAGACTGCATATGTGGTCTGCACATTTTCAGATGTGACAAATTTCATTTGTCAACTAAGAAATCAGAAAATCTAACACTGCTGGGTCTGAATTTCCAAATGGCAGTAATCAACTGGGTTGCCCCCTTTCAAATAGATAAGCATTCTGTATTTTGCCATAGTTCACACTACTCCCTATTAAGTTCAGCTCGCTTATTCACATTTCCTGATGGGCTCCTAGAAGCAAGTTTTTATCTCTGGTGTTGGAATGGCTTGCTGAATGGAAAGCCTGATTCCTCTACCATCTCCCTTGAATGTCTAGGCACCATTTGGTGCACTTTAACCCTTCCTTTTTACTGATGTAGTTAAATGTTGTGCAGACTTGTGAGTCTTCCATGAGGGTATCCTGCCTAGGACAGAGCTGAAACTGCATTGTTGCTAGGTCTGGTCTGCCAGGGATCTTTACACAGCTGTTCCTCACCTCAGAGACGACCTGATCAGGGCCATCAAGAAACTAAAGGCACTCGGCACTGGCTTCGGCATCATCCCTGTGGGTGGCACTTACCTCATTCAGTCTGTTCCTGCTGAGCTCAATATGGATCACACTGTGGTGCTGCAGCTGGCAGAGGTACTGGTGTGCCTTCTGAGTGTGTGTGTGTGAGTGCGTGTGCATGCATGTGCATGGCAGTCTGGGAAGGTATTTTCTGATCTCCTCCCCACCATCACTCATGCCTTTTGCTGCAGCTGTCTAATGGATGCACTACTCAGACCTGTGCTTATTTAGCAGATGTTTATTGAGCAGCTACAGTGCAAAGCACTGGGCCATGCTGTAGGGGCAAATAAGCATGGGTACCACATAGTTCCTGCTCTCAGAGAGCTTACATTCTAGTGGAGGAGCAGACAGACATGCAGACCACTAACTGAATATCCTTGGTGAACAGAGTTTTTTGATGTCTCTGTAAAACTACTTTATGGATTCTTTGAAAAAAAATTTTAATCTTGTCATCCTCCTGTTCCTTTATAGTGCCTTAAGCTGTACCGTCTTCCTGCAGATCCTTACCACGTGTTTAGGGAAGGCATGTTCCGTTTTCTCAGTGCTGTAGTGTAGACTAGAACTGAACAAGGGAGGGAGGGGGCTTTTCTGGGTTGGGGAATGGTTCGGGTGAGGCTGGACAAGGGCTGAATTCTTAATTATTTTAGATTATGATCAGGTTTGATGATCATCATTCCTTCCTATCAGTTAATCATTCTGAATCTTTCTTTGCCATACTCTTGAGTTCTCTGGTAAAAGTCTACATTAATATTTAGTACCAGGGATTCTACTTAAGACTGAGCACCTCAGTCTGCCTACCTCTGTCATCCTGAAAATCACTTCTTACTTCTGCCGGGACCTCTAAACTTTCTTTTCTGTGCTCCCTTAGGCTTTACCCAAGGGCAGGTCCCCCTCCTGTCTGGATAAATTACTTGTCCCTGGGCAGATGCTGGATTCTAAGGGAAAGCACATACTTAACTCATTCCCCGTTCCTTCCTTCAGAAAAATGGCTATGTGACTGTCAGTGATATCAAGGCCAGTCTTAAATGGGAGACGGAGCGAGCGCGGCAAGTGCTGGTACGTGACTTTTGGAATGGCTGAGAAAAGATGGGCCCCCAGATGGGAGGAGGTGGGTAGACAGGTACCACTCAGGCAAGGGCCGCAGCTTCTAACTTCTTGCCTTGAAGGCTGCTGCTACCACACAGAAGTAATCCCAATGTTTCTCTGCAGATGGCACAGAGAGGTAGGACTCACAAAGGAGGGGGCTTCAAACACTGGCACATAGGTACAGCCAGCCTGCCACTGGGGAGTCACCGACACCTTCTCTCATGACCTGTAGAGCCTGGTCAGACGGTTAATGTGGTTTGACTGAAATTAACAGTTGATATAGAGTGAAGGGAACTATTAACTAACATTACATTTCTGTGATTAGTGCATTTATATATAGTTTTATATATACAAGTTTCCTGGTACTAATGAAAGACTAATGTGAAGAGAGAGTAGCATGAACATGTAGGAGCCCTGGCTTTCAATATCCTTTCCCGGGCAGTTAAACTAAAGACTTAACTTCATCTGTGAAGTGGGGATGACACAAACATTTGTTTAATAATATTGGGTCAAACCAACCCATCTGGAGCATATTTCCAGTTACAGGAACTATGAGTCCATTCTAATACAGACTTCCCATTAACTTCTCAAGAAGGGTTTCCCTGTCTTGTAGCTGTCTGTTACTCAGTAAGTTAACTGAAAGTTAGTGATCTCCATTTTGTTTTTGGGAATGGAGTCAGTGATTTACTCAAGGCCATGTAGCAAATGTTTCTGTGGCCCTACCTTCCTTCCACAACATCCCCCTTCTCATGATCCTCTTTCCCAGCAGCACAGATGAAACAACTTGGTAGTATTTCTCACACAGCCGGCAAAGATCTAGGTTAAACACATCATTCCAGTTTGGCTGTGTGGATATGTGAAGGCACTCTTGTAGATTTAGTTTGAAAACCCTACTGAAGCCAAGATAGGTTTGAGGATTATATACCCTACTTTGTGGAAACTCCCCTTTCTCAACTGACTTTTTCCTTTTTCCACCAGGAACACCTGCTGAAGGAAGGGCTGGCTTGGCTGGACCTGCAGGCCCCAGGGGAGGCCCACTACTGGCTGCCAGCTCTCTTCACAGACCTCTACTCCCAGGAGATTACAGCAGAGGAGGCCAGAGAAGCGCTTCCTTGACTGGGAATGAAGTGGGCACAGCAACAGGCAGGGAGAAGAGGGAGGAGCTGGTGGTGAATAAAACCTGGACAACTTTGTTTTAAAAAATAACCAAAAAAACCCCACCAAAAATTCCAAGTTTTTTTCTTCCCCCAATATTCTTCATTCATTACTTTATTATTTTTTTTAAAGTGCCTTCACATTGCATTTTTATTGGAGAAAACCTTGTTTATCCACTAAGGGTAACCTGAGTAACAGAAAACAGCGAGCACATATAAAATGACTTGCACAGGTCATCTACTACAAGGTCATGGTAGAGCTGGGCCTAGAATGAAGGCTGTCTTATCTCCTGGCTAAGACAGTCTAGTCTCTGTAGCCCTGAGACATAAATTCTAGTCTCTGTTAATTCCAACCCCTTCCTCACAAGATGTTATCACAAATGAGCAGACCCTAATAGGCCAATAAATATTCACTTTCAGTCTCCTCCAGCTTCCTTTGTAGAGGTTCCAGCTTATGGCAGCAGACGTGGCTGTGAGTGTGAAGGAAATACAGGTCAATGTTAAATGGTGGTTAGAGCAAAGAAAATGGAATGAGAGGAATCAACCAATAATGGATGCAATATTTCTCAAATTCCTTACTGACTTTCCCTCCTATAGTGATCACCAGGTCCCTCTAGCCTTATTGGTGGGAATCATTTATTGAACACCCATGAGACACCCAGTTTTATATACCTTTTATGTAGCCCTCACAGTATTAAAAGTCAAGTAGGTGTCCTAACCTTTCAGGTGAGGAATTTTTTTTTTTTTTTCAGGTGAGGAATCTTAATTGACAGGGGCCACCTACCACCTTAAGCAGAACTCAAGTTAGAGCCTAGGCCAACTAACCCCCGAGTCCAGGCTTGCCTTTATCTAGCTTTGCCTGGCACAGGTTAATAGATTTAATATTTAATTTCTTCTTATACAGATGGTCAACCAAGAGAAGCCTTTGTACCAGAAAGCAAGAGCCTTCTATAGCAAATAGAGGAGATGAGCTGGGTGGCCAGTTAAGCCCTGTCTTCGTGGTCATTAATTCTAAATTCCTAAGGGTTGGTTTGCTGTCAGAAAACTGAAAACCCAATAGTTTGTAATATCCATACTGATACACCTTTCCCTTACCAAGGGGATAGTCTGACTAGCTAGCACTGTCTGTCCTTTAGGACATGTTCACTTCCTGAATAGGTATTTCTTTGAAAGCAACTGAGACCAAGATGGCACTCCTCTCCTTGACTGCCAAAGTTACAGCCTCAAAAAAAGGACCGTATTTCTGATGGATGGAAACTCTTGTCACTAGCAGTCCTGCTTCCACACCTCATTATGTAACCCAAGTTTCTGGCTTCCAATGAGCACTATCTTTATGCGACAGTTTCAGGCCTAGGTGAGAGGTGTGGTTGTTAAAATGATCACATTCTTCCTTTTACACAAACCCTCCCACACCCACAGGCGCTTCCTCCTTCTGCCAAAACAAACTTTATTGCACCAAAAAGGAAAAAAAAAATTCATTTATGTACAGTCAGATATAAAGACATCTCTTTGACTCCTGTGCATATATTTCCTCAACTCAAGATTTAGGGCGTAAAAGTCAGGCTGGTATGCCAGACATGCTCTGCCCATGGCAGGGCCAAGGAGGATTGTCACTTGAAAGTGGGAACACTTAAATGGATGACTAGACAACACTGGACCAACAGACCAAGGGCATTCTTCTAAGCCCTGTACTAGCTCTGGGAATGGGAGAGGGGAAATTGGAAGCAGGGTCCCTTTTTGAGTCTCCTTGTGAAGAGACCCAGCCTTTAGGTACAAAGCTAAACCTCCATCCCCCAAGCCCACTTACTGTCCAGTTTTTCTTCCTGCCCTCCCAAGTAGGACATTCTCCTTTGTGCCCACCCTCCCACCCCTAGGAGGTTCCATGATCCACAAGGCAGAGGCCTCCCTGGCAGCGGGCACAGTGGGGATGAATTACCATTATTCTCCCCTTACATGTGGCTGGATACTGACTGAGGCCCTGTGTCATGTGGCTCACTATTAGCCCACTGGGAGCCCTAACAGAATCTGGAAAGTACAGAACACATCAAAAACGGAAGGATGGGTTCCCTTGATGCCCAGTATCACAGGGCACCTAAAGCACGTTTTTCTGAGCCAACCAGCTAAAGGATCACTGCAGCTAAATACAGATAAGAGAAGCAACACAGCCAGGGAAACACCCATCAGTCAGTGACGGAGCAGCTGGAGGAGAGCGGGTGGAGAAGGGGAGGAGTCTTCAGAGTCCCAGCCCCCACCCCTCTGCCACTGGCTACCCCTGTTCCCCACAGCTCCCTGGGCTTTGAAGTGATAAGGTGGGACTACAGGCTGAAGTGAGAATACGCAAGGACAGCCAAACAAAATACAACAGGACTAGCATCAGCCTCCTCTGTATCCCCCCACCCCCGGAGAAATACCCTCACTGTGACTAGTATTTATGAAAAATCTGTTAAAGAGACTATTCTATGTAGTGGCTCTAATCCCATACACACGGCTGCTGCTTGTGTTGGGGACTTTTCAAATCAGTGATTGTGGGAACAAATGGCATTTTCAGTTTCTTACGGTGCCTGTGCAGGCTTTACCACGACCTTGGTTCAGTCCCAGTCACATTTACCTTCTGTCTTAAATCTAAAATGGGTGAGGGAATGGGGGACAGAGGAGAAAGGTGCTCAGGTGCTAGGTAAAGCTTACTCATCAGCAGCCTAGACTCCACCACTGTTCCTTCTCTTTGGTCTGTCTAGAACAGTGACTATAAATTAGGAAAAACTTTTACGCTGGCCCATGGGAAATAATGGGGGTAGAGGCAGGGAGGAAAAGGGCACTGGGGAGCCCTGCTTCAAGACTGCAGACAGACAGACAACCACCCCGACTGCTGAAGTGTCACAGACAGCCCCCCACCCCAAGCTCCCTTCCAGATATTCCCATAAATCTTTTGGGCACACTCCCTCTAGGAATTGCAATTTCGGTCTCCCACCTGTCCCTAAGGAGCTGGCCCCATGGAGAGGTGTGTTGGTTTTGTTTTTTTTGCCAGAGGCCCTCGCCCTAGGTGCTTCTGCATAGGTACCTTGGCCCCTGATTTGGGATGAACACAGTCCCAGATGCTCGAGAACCAAGGAGGTCAGATCAGAAACAGCCTCCCCTCTCCCACACCCTGGGATCCGAGCTTGCTTGGTTCTTGCCATCTTGCAGGATGACGTCACATTTGGAGGGAGATACACAGTGCCTCTCCATCCCTGGGGTGGGGGAAAGGGACTTTGCTGGGACTCTCGAGTTGGGGGAGGGGTGAGGGGAGCAGGGTCTAAACCCTTAGGCTCCCGTGCAGGTCTGTCTCTGTCCCAGATGAGCTGCTATCAGAGTCCATTTCGGCGTTCTCATTATGGAGCCTCTCCAGCACTTTCTGACGAATCAGTCCCAGGCGCATCAAGAGGGACTGGTAGTCAAAGTGGCCCCGTTTCTCTCCGAAAGGGTCCTGTGGGGGGAAAGGAGACAATCGGGAAGGAAGATTCAAGTCTGGGTGGCTCACCCTAGAGAGAGAGCTTTAGGCCCGCATGAAGCACATGCTCAACTTCTGAGCATGGGGACAGAGGAAGGCATAGCACAGAGATTCCCAACAGCAGACATCATCCTTGTTTAAGAATACTGTGGCACGTTCAACGGCAGACAGGTCTGGCTTGGGCTAACATTAAAATGTGTTTGCATTCCCCAAAAGCAAGCCAACGTGCCAAAGGGGGACACACTAACAGGGAGAGAGAGAAGAGAAATTCAAGACGAGGACTGTAATCATGAAGTATGGCAATGTTTTCAGTTAACCTCATACAAACTATGAGAGGTTCTCTGTGGCTTAGATGGTAAAGGGTCTGCCTGTAATGCAAGAGACCTGGGTTCAAACTCTGGGTCGGAAGATCCCCTGGAGAAGGAAATTGCAACCCACTCCAGTATTCTGGCTTGGGAAATCCCATGGACATTCCCTTGGGAAGTCCCTGGTGGGCTACAGTCCATGGGGGTCACAAAGAGTCAGATACAACTGAGCGACTTAACACTTCACTTTCATACAAACTATACAAGGGAAAAACTGTCCTTCATTCCCTATACTCAAAGGGTAATTTACTTTTCTGAGATCACAGGCAGGTAGAGAACTCAGGAATTCTGACTTCTGGATAAGCACCTGCCCTCCTCCCCAGGGATCAGTCACTACATTCCTGTCCAGATTTTTGGCATCACTCCAGTCCTTGTCATTCGAGATCAAAGATCACCAAACATCATGTGGAAAGGGGATAACTGTCTTTAAAGTCTCAAAAATAACTATGGGTGGGGTGGAGAATATAAAAAAGTAATTAAAAATGCTAAATAGGGATTATGGCAGCAAGGAGGCTGGGCCAAGGTTTACACAAGTGGAGACCTCTTTCCTTGGCAGTTACAAAAAAGTACACGATCCTCTCTCTCACATAATGTCTGCTTCTCCCACATAAACTCCTGCCACACTTCTGCACACACATTACCCTCATGATCGGGGCCAGTGGATGTAAACCACAGTCTCGAGACTACAGCTTGCACTTTCCACATGTGAGGGTTATGGTCCCCAGAGGCTGAACTTCACACTTACTCTGGAGCTGTCAATTTCTCAAATCTTCCTCCTTTCATCACTGGCTCCATTTCCACCCACTCTCCTCTTTCCCAGATGCTGCTTTTCCTGCCCTTCACTCATCAGAAATTGTTTTTTCTTCACAGACTATTAGAAATACTGCTAGATACCAGCAAAGAGAATTCCTGATGGGGAACAAGCTAAAGCATGCAGTGTCCTCAATGTACTCTTAGAAAAGTTTCAGGGAACAAGTCAACCTTGAACTGGCCCTGTCTTCTGAGTTTAAATGGGGAAGGTAGGGAGGAAGTCCTTGAAGGAAGGATAGGGAAACTACCATCTCTGAAGAGCACCTAAGGAAACAGGACATTTACTCCCATGGCTGGTGGTGTTGGGTGTGTGGAAACACAGACCAAAAAGAACTGGAAAAAACCTGATGACATCTTAGTCACTTAGCCAAGTCACCACTTTTCTATAGCAAGTAAAGGATCCAAAAGACACAGGACTGGTCCTTCAGGACAGGAGGGTTCTCAACCTATTGCTTGTATCTGAGTCTATTTACAATTTAGTTTAATAAGAACCTTTTCATTCAAACAAGTCTAAATTCTGCATTCTTACTGGAAGCAGAAGCACATTTCTGGCAGAGAATGAACAACTGGTTACCATCCTTGTAACTGGAATCTTTCAACAACAATAACTGCACATGCAATGTTTCCCTAAGCATTCTTTCTCTAGACACCCCTCTGAACTAGGGATGAAATTCCAATAATTGACTCTACAATCCCTAAATTCTGAGAGGGCTGATATTCTTAGTTTGAAAAGATTGCTGACCAAGATTGGAAGGAGTTCCAGGATAGAAAGTAGAATGATTCAGATTCTACTCATGAGCACCTACTTTATGCCAGGAACCTAGAACTAACTCCAGATGGCTTCACTCTCTTTGGGTCTCAGTGACTCAAATGCATCAGGTTCCTTTTGGTTCTGAATGCTATGACAGATGTGGATGTCACCCTTCGGGGGGGGGGGGGGTGTTTAAATGTCTGTTTTAAGGTCTCTGAAACTAGCAGCAGGTTGTTACCTGCATAGTCTGGCCTTGAAGGTGCAGGCGATCTTTGCAGGCCACCTCATAGAAGTCATAATACTCCAGGAAGGACTTCTCCATCACCCCTCTGGAAAACAAGCAGAGAAGTTTAAGTTAGGCACAAGACGGGAAGGCACCACCGCTTCATCATCTAACTTTAATGCCAAATTAAGCAGCTAGAGTTCCCATGACCAGATTTGGTTTCCTACGATCTTCGAATGGAAAACAGAGAAAGTAACCACTGACTGCCCATGGTTTATTTCCCTTAGATTTTAAGGATTTTAAAATGGGAGTGATTGTTAATACTGATCACCTAAACCCCAACTTCAACTCATGACTTGCTCAATCATTTTCCAGAGGCCATCCCTAATCCCAAACCTTATTCAAAATTCTCCTAGATACTCCTGAAACATTGTACATGAACCCTATATCAACTTAAAAAAAAGAAAAGTAGCCCCTTCAAATCTTAGAAAAGTTTGTTTCATTAACTCTTTGTTCATCTCGTTTTAACACCTAGAAGTAGACATGAGCACTAAGAAATGGGTTTATTACGAAGTGCTCTACACCTCATTTGGCTGTGCAGTCACCATGTCTTTAATATGTCCAGGTCCTCATCAAACAAGGGCTCCCTGAGGGCATGAACTACATCTTTCCCATCAGGCCTGGCACTCTCCAAAAACTGAGAGGCTCTCTGAACTTCCTCTTAGATAACCCTTTGGTCACTTGCTCTTTAAAGGCATGAACCACATCTTTCCTTTTGCCCCAAAGGTATGAACAAGTTAAATCTCCAAAAGGAATACCAAGTATCAAGTGGGCTCTCTTTACACATACCTTAAGGGTTCAGGGCAGGGACATTTTCCTTCCATCATATCACAGACTGCCACTCTGATGGTCTCATGCCGAATACATTCATTGTAATTTTTGCTGTCCCCTGGATGTCTCTCCTATAATGTGACAGATAGCACAGTATCCAAGTATAAAATTCAGGTAAAAAGAAAACCCAGTGAGAAGAGACTTTAGATTAGTATACGGTATATGAACCAAGCAAATTAACTATGAGGATACCTTTCCTACTACATGGCAGACATGAAGAACAACTAAGTGCTTGAGCCCACTCACCTCTCCCCATGCATACCAATACCCATCCTCTGCTATGGATCATTTGACTACAAGCAGCAAACCAGATGCATCAAATTTCCCTAAGCTTGAAATGAACAGCCTTGCAGAAAGGATTAAGTGGGAAATAAGCATATGTAAGAATAATGGTGGGACAAAAGTTGTAAATGATGCTAGGAGTCTCAACCTGAAAAACCTATAGATAGCAGGATGCTTCCTGATTAATCCTTTACATGCCCGTTGGTGCCACCATCATTGAATCAACTATTATCTATCAGATGTAGAACTCGAAATTTCAAAAGAAAAACTCCAAACTTGGTTTAGAGAGCTGATATGAAAATGTGAGAGCATGGTGTCCCAGCCTTTACCTTTAACTCTTCCCTTGTTGCCCCCTCCTACCTCCATCAATCAATGAGAGCCTTGGCCCCTGATCAAAACATAAAATGAACAGGAAAGATAAACGTGCTTTCAGCCTACTATCTCAGTTCCCAACATGCATCAGAGCAAAATCATAGGGCAATGTGGGATACTGTAAACTTTTTGAGGAAAACAAGAGAAAACTCCATTCTACCTTGAGATAGCAGTTCAGTTTTAATACTGACCTGTATTACATTCCTGTTGATGGCATACTGTTTTAGTGAAGCTGGATTTTCAGTCTCTACTTTGATAAATAGCAAGTATCATATGAAAACAGGAGGGAACAGAAATGAGGGTGGTGGCTCTGATCTGATTCCATGATTTTAAAAGTTGTGTGGCACTCAATAGGTGTGTACATCCTATTATTAAGTCACTGTAGTCATCTGAGAAGTAAGTGATTTGGACCTAACTACTTAACAAACGCAAGAGCCTGTCATTTCTTTTTGCCTGGGAAACTGAAAAACCACCAAGACAAGAGAGTTTGGTGAATCAAGAATGTTTGGTAGACTTAAGAATAAAAGTCACATGTCTTAAAAGTGACATGGGCTTCCTAGTGGTGCTAGTGGTAAAGAACCTGCCTGCCAATGCAGGAGAAATAAGAGATGCAAGTTTGATCCCTGGGTTGGGAAGATCTCCTGGAGAAGGGCACAGCAGCCCACTCGCACTCTTGCCTGGAGAATCCCATGAACAGAGGAGCCTGGCAGGCTACAGTCCATAGGGTTGCAAAGAGTCGACACGACTGAAGCAATTTAGCATGCATGTCTTGAATTTCCAAACAATGTGTAAAAATAAGCTCCTTGGTTAGCCAATGCAGTCCATTTCCATTTCTACTACTCCTGAAATTGCATTCACTGTATGTTTGAAAGGAAGGTTTAGGGAATAATTTTTGTTCATTCTTAAAGGGTATTTCCCTTTGTTTAGGTCTGCAGAGGAATCACCAGCGTTAACGTTTTCTCAGATAGTTTCAAAATGAATTAAGCTGTTTTAATCACACAAAATGAATTATTATCCTTTGAGATATCAGTGGAATTCTTTTCCTGTGCTCACGAGTAACCCTGGAAGAGTCTCTGGAACAATATAAAACTTTGGGCTCCTGGGACTACATCCTGATCTGTGCATCCTTGTCAAAGTTAACTAACTTCTCTGAGTCACAATTACCTCAGCTGAAAATAGGGATAATGTTTATTTTGCAGAGGCAGTATGAGGATTAAATGAGAAGTTACATATAAATGTTTGGCAGTGGCTGGACACGGTACCCCCTTGGAAAACAGGAGTTTCCTCCACCTTTTCTTCGTAAAATATTCTTGCTCTAGCCAACAACTGCTCCTCTGGCTCTGTAGGTAACAGTACTTCAGGACTCCAGAAGAAAAGTCTGGCTCAGCAGCACTCACTTGGGAGCACCTTAAAGGGATACTGGAGAATGGAGGCATAGAGAAGAACCCACTGGCTGCAACCTTCTAAACAAGATGTGGAAATCAATTTCCAAATGACTCCACTGACTTCCACATGGTAGATTAATCCAAGTCAATGGAAATAACTCGATAATGTTATTGTCATTTAGTAAGAAAAAAATTCATTATTAAGGCACACACATGCCAGTTCCAACAGTGACAAGTTTAATACACGGGACTGAGCCAGATCAAAAATGAAACAAAAGCCCTCAAGCAGATCTTTCAGATCTATGAAAACCCAATATTCAATATTCTACACTGCAGAGCTGGGCCCACCTGGCCTTACCTGCTCAAAGCCAGGTTCATTGTGATAGGGGTTCTCGGTCATCAGGGACTGGATGGAGATGAGCACAGACGAGATGCTCTGGGCTGGGCTCCAGGCAGGGCCAGTCCACGTACTGCAAAACACAGCAGAAGGGAGGGAAGCGCGTGAGGCAGAGAGAGATGGGAAAGGCCACACAGAAAGACCAGTGAACAAGTACCCTGGGGCCTGGCAGCACCATAGTAAGTGACTCACTTTCTCCTTCACTATGAATACTCTGGAATTTCCCAGCCTCCATCTCCTCTCATTCACCAGAAATCAGTCAACTGACTAATCCTCTTATCAAGTGGCACAATAGAGGGTAAAGCAAGCATGCTAACTTTGAAGGGATTTTCTCAGGGCTAGGAGAGGAACAGTAGACAGGGGAGGTTCCCTTCACCAAAATGAAAGAAATATGGTAAGAAAACAACTCCAAAGACAGTCTAAATGTTAACCTCCATGGATCTCAAAGGGCTTACTTATTTATTTATGGGTGGTGATGGAGTCAGAGAGGAGAGAAGCTGAACACAGAGGCAGAGAAGGGAGTGAAGCCATCTGGTTACATAGAGGCCATGTGCTGAGACTGATGATCGGGGATCCAGTCTCTATCAAGCCCCCAAAGATTGTCAAGTTCTCTGAAGACTATATAACTCTGACAAAAGACAGAAAGGAAATAAAGGGCATTCCGAGTGTGGAGGATTTAAAAATAATACATGAATAACATCTTCAACAACAGAGAAACACCAAAATTACTCCTCTTTCATAAACCTGATGGAATGTTGGGAGGAGGGAAGCTTGGACATTTATGTTTTAGTTCAATTAATAGAAGAGATGGCACCTGAGCTGGAAGCTGAACATAAGCTAAAATAGTACTGGCTTGTTCAACTGAACTGGCCAGGTCCTTCTCCCTGCTGGTCTTGAGGAACGGCCAGTAAGTGCCGAGGAACAGCAGCTCCCTCAGAGCTTGCTGCAGTGCCTCTCAACTTTGCTTCTCAGCTTTGCTCCCCCAGGAACCCTAGACATCACACTCTTTGAAGCCTCTAGTATGTGGGAACTGAAGTCAACAGGGTAAACTTTCAATGTCTTTTGTAAGTCAGCCCAATGTTTTTTATAGTTAAGGAGGAAAGGAGTGACGGTGATAAAGTGAATGGACAACTAACTATGCATGGGAATATTCTCCTCTGATTCTTGATGGCAAATTTTCAAATTCAGAGTAGCTTCTTTTCCTTTCCATCCAATACTTGTGTCGCTTTTACTCCACACCGTCTTACTTCCCCTGTTTCTACTGTGAGCTGATGTTTGCTCAAAATAGTTTTATACTGGCCTAATGAAGGAAAACTTAACACAAAAACATGTTCAAGAACAGCTTCCATACAGAAGCAACAAGTAAATCTCCTTAGCACTATGGGACACATATCACCATCGTTCCAGCACAGACAATTCTCTACCCTAATGAGATAAAGGACTTCTTTAAAGACAATCTCCTTTAAAGGACTTTCTCACTGCCACAATCATAGAACAAATTACTACATTTGAGAGAAATGGGGATGAGGAGAAGTCTGTTTCAGCTGCCTTTTCCCTACACAAACCTAAAAATATTGGACTGACAGGAAAAAGAGAACAGTATCACCAGTCTGGGCAACTTTCTTAACTTCAGTTTTTACTTATTCTCTGACTCAGGGAAATTCAGACCACACTAAAAAGACCAATCCAGAATATGCTAGAAGATATTTTCATTCTGAATTTTTAACCCCCAAAGGTGGTTAAACGGAATGGATGAGAACTACATGAAGCAAAACCTTGGCATCACCTAGCAACAAAAATGTACTTGAAACCTGTTTCATATCTGATGATTTCCAATCTAACATTTTTCATTCCGTTGTTAAAATATAATAATCACCATCACCACTTCCTCCAAAGCCACTCACGAGAAACTTAGAAATAAGACATTCACACCCTTGAATGGCACAGGATCTGCAGCCTTTCTCAACCTGCTCAGGAAAGAATTAAGCCCTGATGCCCTAAGGTAGTGGTTCTCCAACAGTCTGCACCAGAATCACCTGGAGAGCCTGTAAGACACATTGCTGGCCCTACCCTCAGAGCTTTTGATATAGTAAGTCTAGGGTGGGGCCCAGATTCTGTATGGCTATAAATTCCCAGGTGCTACTGCTGCTCAGGGTGAACCACTTCACTAAGGCATCCATTGTACATCATAAATTCTGTTTTTTGCCTCTAGAATGATACTAATCAAGTACCATCCAGGGAAGAATTGAGGGAACAGTCATTCCAATTATTTTCCGTGTTCTGTGATTCAGATGAGAAACCCTGGTTGATAAAGGCTGGCCTAGAGTAGTATTTGCTAACAACCAACTTGGCCACTTCGGAGTCTCCTCTTACCCTAGAATACTCAAGCAGACTTTCCCATTGCGGTAGAAGTTGGGGTTAAACCTCACTGTGTTATTGCCCGTTGTCATCAGTTTGACCCGAGGTGGGTGGATGGGATAGTCGGGCGGACACCGAAACACGAACAGGAAGAAACCCCCTTCATAAGGAGTGTCAAATGGGCCTGTGATCAATGCATGAATCTGCAAAATAAAACCCCATCTCAAAATTGTGAGGTGATGTCCCATCCCAAACCCTCCTGACTTCCACTTGCTACCCACACCAGAAGCAGGACCTTCATCTGAATCCATATTCCATATCCTCACCATAGAGAATCAATGGCCTGTGCTCACTCACACTAATAAATTTTTTTGGGATTTTAAGAAACCCCATTACAGTGGAGTGGCATCTTACTCAGGGGTTACATTCTAAAGTTAAGAGCCCAAGGTGAACATTGGATCAAACCAAAAATCACCCTTGAGTGTCCCTTAAAGCATGTTTTTTGTTTGGACTTTCCTGATCAGCATTTTATATAACAAATGAATAGAACACCAACATGCAAAATATAACACACACCTGTAAAATATTATCCTAGCAATGTTTAATTTTAAGAAATCAATACTTTTTTTTTTTAAACTGAGTACTAATATTTGGATTTGCCTAGGTTAAACATGTGTATGAGGCAACTCCACCCTCCAGTTATGTAGCATAAGGGGAGGTAGATGAACAGAAAAGAGGAAAGGGATTGGAGGCCACAGCAACAGTGCCAATCACAGGGCAGAGCTGAGGTTTGTGATGGGGGCCTATGGTATCTGTTTCCTCTGCAGAGGATCAAACCTACTGTGGAGGATGTGGCTCAGGCAGCATCCAGCTGTGTGAAAGATACAAAGAAAAATGGGGAAACTCAGGGTCCACTCGGAGCCACAGATTATCCCCAGAACTTTCCCCAACACCATAGATTAAATAATAATAATAATAAATCAGCACTCAGAACTAAATTCTCTTCTTCCAGTTGTGATTATCAAACAAGATTTCTCTTCTCCAAGGGAGGAAAACTTTAACTGGCTCAGTTATATTTATTCATCTGCAAAGGCTCCTAGGCACTTAAGTCTGCTCAGAATTTAAACAGCAAGGGAAAAAGAACCTGCAATCCAATGCCTCCATCTATAGTCCCCACCTTGTCCTGGTAGCATCCTTTGCTATCTTTTAGCCTTCAGTTCTTTGGAATAGCAAGCTCAAATGGTATCAACATGACATCAACTCTGGGATCCCAGGGACTAGTATATAACACTGATACTTAACTAAGGACAAGATGTCCCAAGAAAAAATTTCCAACTACATAGAAAGGAAAATCTCAATTTAAAGGGAAACCTATTTAAAACAAAATAGACACCAAAAAAATACCAAATTTGAATTTTTACTGGAAGAAATATGATACTATGAAGAATTTTCATTTAAACAACACAAGATTTAGGTAATCCAATTTCCTCCTAATATCAGTTAAGTTCATCTCTAAGGTAGAGTAATCAGTGACAGAGAAGTCTAGGTATCTATGCCAGTGGAATTTAAGCTTTCTCTGTGTTTGTGTGTGGACAAGACAGGAATGGTCTTTGGGGTGGAAGGGATATTCAAAAGGATCAGTAAGGACAGGAGCCTAAACAAGGCCCTGCAACTACAAACACTGTTCACTCAAGCTTGCCCCTTCCCCAACCATCTTTACATCTGATTTATAGCACCACACTTAAAGGTAAAAAATGGCAGGATAGGGGAAGAGTTGGGTAGTACAATAGGATGTCCATATAATTTATCACCCAAACTGGAGCATTTCTGAGAGTGAAAGAGAGCCTATTAATAGTTAGGCTTGGACAACAGGCATAAACTGGGATTTTCCAAGCCAACTAGAACCCTTTGGCATCCCCAAAACAAATAACCTGTTCAAGGCTCTGCTCCACCTCACCGTGTGACCTTGGGCAAGCCACTTACTCTCTTGCAGTTTTGATTTATTCACCTATATAATCAAAGATGTGAACTGGATAATCTCTTTTAGGCTCTTCCAGCTTAATGGCCCCAATTTCCCCAAACCCCACCAAGGTACATACCTTTGTCATGTCAACAGTATCAGGAACAACGAACATTCCTGGAGGAGGCTCCTTATAAATGGACATGATATCCCTGTATAACACCAAGAGGAAGTGGGAAGGGAGTGAGGGAGAGGAGAAGAAAGGGGAATCCCTTGAGCAGGACAACTGTTGTCACCTCAATGAGGCCAGGGTTTGAGAAGGTGGCACTTGGTACCACAAATGTTTGCACTGTCTTGTTGGCTGAGAAATCTCAGCTGAGGGAGTACTTGTCAGGCAAGCAGAGAGCAAATTATTATCAAAGGGGCATTGTTTCCTCAGGGGGAGGGTAGTGGGGGGGGATCAGACATCCCAATGGCATCAGATGTCACCCTGGAAAAGCCACATCCCATTTACTCTCACTTCCTCCCACACGGCACTTCATTCACTCCCCACCTCCGAGATTCCCAGGTACTATTCCTGAATGCTACATGAAGGCTTCTCAGTTACTAGGAAGGCTTAATCAATTCTATTAAAAATCTAATTCTATAAACCACATAGTAGACTGTTGTTGGCATGTGGATTATATGAAGCAAGTGAGCTAACAGGGAGCAATAATGGCCTTCCTGCCCAGGAGACTAATAGGGTACAAATGTCCTCAGGCTGGGGAAGGGATCCTCTGAAATTGTTGAGAATCGCACATGTGGAAGAGGACATGTAACCATTACTATGTAAGATGAGAAAACTTCTAGGTCATAGCTCATGAACTAGAATGGATCAGTTGTGAGCAAGGGTTTACAGAAGGATGTTTTGTTGGAAAGTTTAGGGACTTGCTATGGAAATGAGTTTGAGCAAGCTCCTGGAGTTGGTGATGGACAGGGAAGCCTGGCGTGCTGCAGTCCATGGGGTCGCAGAGTCAGGACACGAGTGAGTAACTGGACTGAACTGAACTGAGGATACATAGGGACATTAAAAAGTGCAAATAAGCAACAGAGTAAAGGAAAAGAAGTATTGGCAGAACTGAGAGGTATGTCAGGATTGGAAGGCTGAAAATGGCCAAAGGAGTACAAGAGCTGAGGGGTGCTGAATTTAAGTTAGTGGTGGCAACCTCGATGGAGTTGGCAAACTGTGTCAGGCACTGGGCCAGGTACTTTACACACAGTATGCGGTTTAATTTTCAGAACAATCAGTAGGTAGAAGCAACTGAAGGAACTTGGAATGTGGGGAATGTGATTACCTCGATGAAGATGACTGTGATGGGGGCATGGGGAGAGAATCTGGTTGTCAGCAAACAGGTTTCAGGATTGACAGTAGCTAAAAAGCATTCCCTTTCCTCTGTGATAGGTACTATACACGCTAAGCAATTTCGCAAAAACATTATCTATTAAATGATACGATCTAAGACCAGTCACCCAAGAAATAAGCACAGAAGGGACCTGGACCTTTGTTCCTATATTTGAGTTGGGTATATTGACTTCAGAAAGTAAATCACATGACTCAGGGGAACGACTACAGAAAAGAAAGTCTTGAGAGGGATATTACAAGCCAAAGTGAGACTAGGGGTGGGGGCGGAGCGTGAAGAAAGCTCGAGTTCCTGGAACAGGTGTGAGAGCAGACAGTTTTGGGATTCTGGAAAAGTGGTTCAAGGGAAGGCTGCCGGCATATGGGGGAAGAGACCTAGACTTGGGGAGGGGACTCTGAGGAGGGGGTTTGAGGAGGCCGGGGATAAAAAGCCAGGCTGGCCGGGGAAAGCAAGCTGTGTGTTTATTACAAACGGGGCTCGGGAGGAGACGACGCAGGGGACCGCTGGGTGGGGCCTCCCAGCAGCATCTAGCAAGGCTGGGGTGGGGAGGGGGGGAGTGAGGCGGTGCAGAGGGCGGGAGGGGGTGTTACTGAAGCGCGAAAGGGTCGGGTTTCGGGCGGGAGGTCGGGTGGTGTGGGGGAGGGTGTCCGGACTGGAAACTAAGGGCTCACGAGAGGTTACCGAGGGGCGGGGTCGTACCCGGTCAGGCCAGGAGGGGCTTGGTGCTTGTGGGGCGGGGGGAAAAGAGGACTTGGATCACGAAGCTCCAGGTAAGCAAGACGTGGGCCTTGGAGTTGGGCCACCGCGAGGGCAGCGCGGAGGCAGCGGGGGTTGGGGGTTGGTAGTGGGAAAAGGTGGGGGGGGGCGGGGAAGGTCGAGCCCCGGAGCTCGGGGCTGGGGGAGGAAAAACCCCGGCTCACCGCTTGATCCGGAGTAGACACTGCGGCGCGGTTCGTTCGCCGTCCCAGTCGGAGCTGAGTGTGGGGTCCCAGTGGCTAAGGAGCGCGGCCCCGTGGGCAGCGGCCGAGGGCGGGAGCCCCGGCAGCGGAGCCAGGCCGCTCCCCGGCCCCCCGGCCCCGCCCGCTGCCGCCGCCGCCGCCCACACATCCGGCAGGAAAGGCGGCCCGAACCCGCCGCTGCTGCCGCTAACACCAACAACACCGGTAACGCCGCTTGCCCCAGGGCCCGCCGCCCCGGCGCCTGCTGTCGCCGTCGCCGCCTCTTCAGTCGGACTCTCCGCCATCGCTTCTTCGCTTCCGGGACTGCCAGGCAGCACGTCCGCCGACCAGAGCGGCCGCTGCTCCCTCCCGCTCCTGCACCACCGAGAGCCGGGCCAGAGTGTCCCCACCCTCCGCTTCCCCGGCCCGGGCGGCGCTGGCTCCGCCCGCCCCCTCCCAGAGCAGCGAGAGGCGCTCTGCAAGAGAGTCCACCCACAGTCCTCCAGAGAGGGTGGGGGTCGGAGCTCGCCGGGCAAGAGTGTGTACTGGGCCTGCGCGGACCCAGCGCTTTGCGAGAGGAGGTTCTGAGGCCGGTTGGAACTCCTAGGTGTGGTTGGGTGCCCAACTCCAAGGACTATTTTATTTTTAAGCGTTGCAAGGGGAAGAGAGGAGGACCATTTACCACATTTAGGAACGCGACCTTCAGACCTGCGCAAGGGGGAGGATTGAGGCTCCAGCCTCTGTGGGGAGGCGCTGAATAGAGGAGTTGACTCGCTTAGGGCCCTTCCTGTCCGAAAGTCTGTGATTTATCCTTCCTGTACCCTCACTCACGGAGGGCAGGCTGCCATTGCCCCCTGCCTGCAACAGAAGCAAGAGGAAGGAAGGAAGGAATCAGAAACTGCGAGTGGAAAAACTACGTCGTTTTAAAATTTATTCAATGTATATTTATGAAGGGCCTGCTAAATGCCAGGCACTTTTGCTAGGCGTTGCCATAGGGATACTGAAACAGACCTAGAGAAGCTTGGTTGAAAAAAAAAAAATCAAGCCTCCTGACTTCACTCTTAGCATTTCTTCCCACAATTCTTTATGCAGGAATCAAGGGGATGTGAGTTGAAATCCTGGAAGGATTTCTCAGGACTTTATTGAGATATGTAAGCTGAAAAAACACTATGGGCTAAGGAACACAAGCTATCAAAAAAAAAAAAAAAAAAAAAGCCTTCCCTTTTCTCCCTAGCAAGAGTACAGGATCATAATCTAACAACACTCCCAGCGGGAGTTGGGGCAGTACTGAGTAACCAAATATACTGATACTTCTGCAAGAAAGCATATGAATATTCATACTGGTTGGGTAATTTATGAATATTCATACTAAAACAAATCGCTTCACTTTATATTTTTGCCGCCAAATTTGTTTTAAAAAAGGAAGTCCTGTCTTCACAGATTTGTGAATTTTCCAACAGGGGACTGTGGAGTTGAATGATAATAGCCAGCATTTATTGGGAATTAAAATATTGTGTTAACATTTATTGAGTTAAAAAAAAAGAAAAAAATGTATTGAGTGCCTAATATGTGCTAAGGGCTTTATATACTTTTGTCTTGTTTATTCCTTTCAACAGACCTGTGAAGTTAAGTATTGTTATTAGTCCCTTCTGATAGGTGGCATATTGTTACAGCTTGGAACTCTCTGACACTATCACATTGTACCTTGTACTAATTATGGTACATAATGGTACAACTAATTTGATACCTGTTGCTTCCTACTCCCCCACCCTGTTTCTTGGGACTTTAGATCATGTATTATCTATGAATCTAGCAGGGGCCCTGTCATAAACTTAGGTACTTACCATGAAGCAAAATGAATTGATACACTATACAGATTTCCTGTTTTGTTGGTATAGTATTTTACCTCTCTATAATAAAAATGCCCAAGTATCTGTGAAGGATACTCAAGAAACTGGCAACAGTGGTTGCCTTTTGATGGTTTGGTTGCAACATACATACATACGTACACACACATACTCACACACTTGTACCTTTTATATGTGCTGTGCATCTATTGCTTATTGAAAGTATGTATTTCATTTGTTTTTCAAGGATTCCAGAATTTTTCTTGGTTATTACTTACTTAGTAAGATGATCAAAAGTCAACTCACAGGGTAACCTCACACAAAGAAAAACACTACTCCATAGCTTCTCCTGGAGAAGGCAATGGCACCCCACTCCAGTACTCTTGCCTGGAAAATCCCATGGACAGAGGAGCCTGGTAGGCTGCAGTCAATGGGGTCCCTAAGAGTCAGACGAGACTGAGCGACTTCACTTTCACTTTTCACTTTCATTCATTGGAGAAGGAAATGACAGCCCACTCCAGTGTTCTTGCCTGGCGAATCCCAGGGGCGGGGGAGCCTGGTGGGCTGCTGTCTGTGGGGTTGCACAGAGTCGGACACGACTGAAGCGACCTAGCAGCAGCAGCATAGTTCCTCCAGGACTACAGACTGCAGAGGCCCATGGGTGGCCCGTGGAGTGAGAGGACGCCTCAGTGAGTCTTTTCCTTATTACTGGGCCATTGTTTTCAAGTATAAGGTCCATTAGCAACGGGACAGTGACAGAAAACACAACCTTACAGGAGAAGAATGAGGTTCAACCTTTGATCTGTACCACTCTGCAAATATCCTCTTTGAGCCTATTTCTGCATCCATAGAATGGTGATAATTATTGCCTCTCAGGGTTTTTCTGAAGATTAAGTGTGGCACTTCTAGATGTGTTTTGCAAAGTGGTAAGCATTGTCTAAATAATTGGCACCTCACTTGCCCGTGTACCTTTTCTGAGCCTGTGCTTGTAATTTTCCCTACCTGGAATACTCTTTCCCTTCATTAGGGAAAATACTAGTTATTTAAACTCTCTAAGCTTCTATTCCTCATCAGTAATATTGATAAAGTAATAGCAGCTATAAAGAAGAGATAATGTGATAATGAATGTACACAATACCTGGCCAGAGTAAGTGTTCAGTAATTATTCTTATTTTTATTATTCTTACTCATTGTCAAAGCTGGCTGTAATATTACTTTCTCTGCCAAACTTTAACACCCCCAGGCATATTATTAATATTATTATTAATTAGCCATTTAAAATGACTCCATCCTCTGAAGTAACTCAGACTTTTGTTATAGCACATAACTGCTTTTTATTTTAGTGGTTTCATTACTCATCTGTCTAGTTACTGCATATGGCATTCTCTGGGATGTAAGCATGGAGGACCTACCTTCATCTCCAGGACCTGACATTCCGTGATTATTGAAGAAATGGTGAACAGAATGGAAATTAAGACATGGTAGCCAGTTGCTCTTCCCCTTACCATGGATCTTTAAGATTTCACTTCCTTTTCCTCAGAAATGCCTGTTTTCTTTCCAAAGGGCTGGCCAGCCTTGTACAAAGAATCGTCAACTCAAGGCCTGAAGGGCTGCAGCTGCTTAAAGGACCAGCCCACAACTCCTAGGGGAACTCCAGAAAGCCTCTAAACTGGGAAGAAGAAGGACCAGGGAGAGGCTAGCAGGACTTTGTGAACTGGCATCGCTTGCTCCAGTGCTACTTTTTTCAAGGCAGTACCTGGCACCTTTCCCTGGCAGCTTGGCCAGAGGGCAAGAGTGCTTTCTGGAGCCAGTCCCATGGCCTCTGGGGATAGATGACACACCCAAGCAGTCTTCCTATGGGAACTTGGATCCAAGCGTCTCTTTCCTCCCCAGCACGCTGGACTGCACTGAACTGTCTCTTAGTGCAGCAGTTTGGTAGCACCTTACTCGTGGCAACCTGGCAAGCACTCTTCCCCAGGACAGAGGCCACCAAGTACCCTGGAGTTCAGGTCACTGCTGTGCCTCAACCCTCTCTAGATAGATGCATCGTGAAGATGGTCCTTCCCCAAGGTCCTGTGTCCCCTTGCTGTCTGGAGTGCCTCTCCTCCCCAGTGCCTAGCCTTTTGTCTTGGGCTTCTTGCCAGGAATAGATGAAGAACTCCTACCCAGGTTGTAAATTGGGGACTAAATTGGAAAAATCAGAACTTGGACTGGGTATCTTGAAGCTTCTGATTACAAGTAATAATAGCTATATTAAAATTTTTAAAGAATATATGTATTAAGTGTTATTACATATATCAATACATCTTTATATTACATATATTAAAACTGTACGTCACATATATCAATACATCTTTATATTACATATATTAAAACTGTACGTGTATATTACAGATCTGTACATGTATATATTACATGTATTATCATTTGCATATGTGAGTGAGTGATAGTTGCTCAGTTGTGTCCAACTCTGTGACCCCATGGTTTGTCCATGAAATTCTACAGGCAAGTGGGATTGCCTGGGTTGCCATTCCCTCCTCCAGGGAATCTTCCCATCCCAGGGATTGAACTCCGGTCTCCTGCATTGCAGGCAGATTCTTTGCCATCTGAGCTATCAGGGAAACCCAATATTTTCCTGAATTATCTTACTGTGTTGTCACAACCACCATGAATTGTTCTCATCCCCATTTTAGAGCTGAGAAAATCAAAGCTCAGGAGAGAAAATTAACTTCATAGGAAATGGCAGGGCTGAGATTTGCACTCCCTTCTAACTCGCAAGTCCATGCTCTTTGCCACCATGCTTAAGGCAGTGGTTATTCAGTGTCATTACTCCTTTGAGAATATAATGAAAACAAAGGACCCTCTCCCAAGAACAATGTACCCATCTCCACTCATAAGTATTTTGCAGTAAGCATAATGATCCCACCCATGGGCCATAGACCTTAGATAAAGAACCTCAATGGGGGAAAAAAAATAAAAGAATCTCAATGGTAAAGGACTATTTGCCTGGCTCGGGCTAGGAGCACATTCTCTTTTGACTCTAAGGTTCCATGGGCTCACAAACCACATTCCCAATCCTGGATCTGAAACCCCAGCAGTTTCAAAGCTGATTGGAACCCATGATGAAAGGAAATTCTTAGCCCCTTGGGAAAACATAGGTTCCCAGGGCTTCACAGGAAGGAAGAGGCAACCGTCTTCCCTAAGGGCTGTTCCTTGATTACTGCCCAAGGGTAGTGACCAGGGAAGGATGCAAGCCTGACATCCCAAAATATTGCTGTATTCCGTTTGCACAGCAGCATACGTTGATCAGTTGCTCCCTTTATGATACCTGAGCTACCACTTCAACCTCAGTCTGGTTCCTTCTCTTTGGCCCTGAAATTCCTGGGCTCTGCTTTAGGTTCTATCACTGGGTTGCTGTGGACCGTCTTGAGAGTTACATAAGGGGAAGAGGCTGAGAGACATGCAGCAGATTATGGTAGACCAGTAGTTCTCAACTGGGAGTGATTTTGTCCCCTAACTAGAAGACATTTGTCAATATCTGACATTTCGCAGTTGGCTGTCACAATCGGGGAAGGGATGGTTGCCACTGGCATCTAGTGGGTAGAGACTAAGGATGTTGTTAAACATCTTCATACAATGAATTATCTAACCTCAAATGTGCCAGGTGAGCAAACCTGTGGGAGAAGACCATGATTATTCAATGTTAGGTGGTCTAGGATTGAAACCGTTGGCCTGCTATATGACCTTGAGTGTATCACTGATAGATGAGTCAGCACAATGATTAGAATACAGGTTCTGGAGTTTGAATCCCAGCTTTACTAACCAGCTGTATGACCTTCATAGGATTCCTTACCTCTGTGACTCCCTCATTTTCCTTACCAACAGAGTGACTTATTTCCTAGGGATGTTAAAGTTATTAATTGAAAATGCTTATCACAATGCCTGTCATGCTACGTCCAACCTAGACAGCATATTAAAAAGCAGATATTACTTTGCCGACAAAGGTCCGTCTAGTTAAAGCTGTGGTTTTTCCAGTAGTTGTGTATGGATGTGAGAGGTGGACTATAAAGAAAGCTGAGTGCTGAAGAACTGATGCTTTTGAACTGTGGTGTTGGAGAAGACTCTTGAAAGTCCCTTGGACTGCAAGATCAAACCAGTCAGTCCTAAAGGAAATCAGTCCTGAACACTCATTGGAAGGACTGATGCTGAAGCTGAAACTCCCAATACTTTGGCCACGTGATTTGAAGAACTGACTCCTTGGAAAAGACCTTCATGCTGGGAAGGACTTTAGGCGGGAGGAGAAGGGGATGACAGAGGATGACATGGTTGGATGGCATCACCAACTCGATGGACATGAGTTTGAGCAAGCTCTGGGAGTTGGCGATGGACAGGGAAGCCTGGCCTGCTGCGGTCCGTGGGGTCGCAAAGAGTCAGACACCAGTGAGTGACTGAGCTGATGACTGTCATGAGGTTTCCCTGATGGCTCAGATGGTAAAGGATCTGCATGCAATGCAAGAGACCCAAATTTGATCTCTGAATGGGGAAGACCCCTGGAGAAGGAAATGACAGCTCACTCTAGTATTCTTGCCTGGAGAATTCTACGGACAGAGGAGCCTGGTGGGGCTACAGTCCACAGAGTCACAAAGTCGGACATGATTGAGCAACTAACATGCACATATATGCCTGTCATGCAAGTGCCCAAATGTTAGCCGGTTTTATTGCAACCAACACTTGCCTCCTTGCTTTCCCTCTTCTTCAGCACATAGCTTGTCTACCCACAGAGCCGATAATTTGTGGCATTGTTCGGTATTGTTTCCACTGTTGGTTTTCAGCATTCCCCAAAACTCCTAGGAGAATGCTTAACACCTAAATACCTGCATGACTGTATTTAAACTGCATGTAAATTGAATTCATTCTTATTGACTCACATTTTCTTTTTAACGCTTTAAACTTTGCTAGCTGCCCTTCAGCTGGAAGGTGCTAATTATTGTTTCTAGTTCACAGTTTTACAGTATATTTAAGTATCAGGTTTTCAAAAAGTGGGTCTCGTATTTGAGACAGGTCATGTCTACCAGCACCCTTGAGTTCATTCTGTGGATATATCAGCTTAGCTTTCTTTTACTTGGGTTATAAGTCCACTTCAGCCAAGTGTGGGACACTGGCTGATCACAGACGAGACCCCGGGAAGATACTGTGAGGAGCTCTGTAAGCAGTTTGTTCACCTACGCAGTCAGTCAGTTCAGTCGCTCAGTCGTGTCCGACTCTTTTTGACCCCATGGACTGCAACACACCAGGCTTCCCTGTCTATCACCAACTCCCGAAGCCTGCTTACCCTGCACTGGCTCCTGCTAAAACATCATTTTCATCTCTAGCAGAGCTAAGATTTTAAATTCTCCAGGAACACAGACCATGTCCCTCATCAGCTTTATTCAAGAACATTTAGGCACTCTAAATGTTCTAATTGAGAATGGAAATGAAACTTAAAGAGTGGAGCCAAATGCTGGCAGATGGAGGCCCACCTCTAACGTGCTATACAACTTCTTTAGGACAGTTTCCCTGTCTGTGCAACCTTAATTGTGTGGCCAAAATGAAAATAGATGGGACAACACAGCAGCTGAAGGCTTAGGCTGGCTTGAGGGGGGAATCCCTAATTTTGCCACTTACCAGCTCTGAGATGATGAACAAGTTATTTTGTTTCCCTAAGCCTTAGTCCCCTCATTTGCAAAACAGGTATAATCACTGCACTTATAATTCATAGGGTTGCTGAGATAACAAATGCAAAACACTCTGTAAAGAACTTGGTGCAAATTAAGCCCCTCAAAAATGTTACATATTATTACACTAAATTTGAAAAAAGCACCAATCATCATTAGACAAATCCATGTTCTCTCCTCTGAGAGATGTTATTACAGTCATGGCAGTGCTACTTCTCAGCCCTGAGGAGTTCTTAACCACCAATGGCTGCCCCAATCCCACTTCCTTGTCTCACCTTTCTATTAATATATGAAGGCCCTCCCCAAGGGCAAAGGACTGAGGCATTGGCATATGAGTTTAGAGAAACATTGTGTTTAATGGTAAAGGTTAGCACACTCCAGCACGGGGCATGGCCTGGAGTCGAAGCAGGAGGGGTGGGTAGGTGACTTCCACGGAGCCTCACATGGCGAAGAGGATGAGGAAGGCGACCATCAAACAGAAGAGCCCCATAGCCTCAGACAGGGCAAAACCAAGAATGGCATAGGAGAAGAGCTGCTGCTTCAGAGACGGGTTCCTGTCAGGCACAGAGACAGGAAAGAAAAGGGTAAGGGTGTGGGTCATGGATGGTGGTGGAAGACTCAAGTAGTTTAGGTGAATGGGGAGTGCTGAATGGGAGAGGGCCCAGCTTGCATATATCCTGGGGCCTGGAGAGGTAAGCAGAGTACCAACATGGTAAGTTTTAAGTGAGCCAAGTTGGAAACATTTAAATTCGGAGAAAATAGGAGGTAGATGAAATCAGTGCAAAGCTATAAGGATCTTTTGCTGAAGGTGGAATTTACAGTAGGAGATGCTCTAGACCACCCTGGACCTTACCTGGCATAGCCAATGATCAAGCTGCCAAACACTGTTCCAATACCGGCCCCTGAACCAGCCACACCAACTGTGGCAGCCCCAGCACCAATAAACTTGGCAGCTGTGTCAATGTCCCGGGAGACAACACTGGTCTGGAATTCCCGCCGGGCCACCTGCAGTGGGCCACTGCTGCAGGAAGGCTAGGAGGGGGAGAGAGAGGGAAGTAGGGAAGGAGAGAGAAGGAGATAGTGAGGCTCAAGGACAGGTGTCTGACTCCGCCCCTCACCCCACCCACCTGAGCTCAGAAATTGTTGGAAGGCTGCTTAGCAAGTACAGAATGCTCAGACTACAGGGTGTGATTAGAATTAGTCTTAGGGTCCATTTCCAGACAGGGCTAGGGAAATTTCATGAAAACTCAATTTCAGTTTTCCAAGTTTCACCTACAATGCTTACTTTTCGGGTACTTAGAACTATTAAAGCATGTCAGAGTCTCTGTCCTCTCACTTTGCCTGAAAGGCAACTACACAAACTTAAAGGAACCTAGTCTGGGGACATTCTTAACAGGGCCCATTCTCCTTTACCTGTACAGATGGGATCTCTGGCC